ACCTTTATGGAGTTCTGCGAGTAATGCGCCGTCCAGCACATCCGCTCACCACCGTTTTACACACAGTCGAATGGCCACGCAGAAAGGTTCGTGAATACGTTCAAGCGGAATGGAGCTTCGCCATCACAGGCGATGATGAACAGAAAGCTCCGCATGTCATTCGACCACGCTCATAGCCCTCTGTTGGTGAAAGAAACTTCAGAATGGAGCAAGATTTTAATCGATGGCATAGAGCAAAGAAACAATCGTTCACACTGGAACAGACTATCGGAAATGCCACGCAAAGTGGACGCCAGGCACGATCAAAACAAGCGCGAAAATGTGATGTATGACGTGATCGTGGGAACACAGATCTGGGCCCGACATGTAAACCAGCTACGGCCAACGCTGTGCCAACCAGAATAAGCAAAGCTTGCTGATCACCCGTTTGAGTTACTGGTAGAAAGCTGCAACTTTCCAAACTAGCGCGTAGATGAATACTGTCAGTCGAGCAAAGAAACAAGAACACATACTCCAGAACCTGCTTTTCGAGTACTTCAACCGAGGCCATGGACCGGCAGACACAGAACACTGTCCATAAGATTACAAGTTAATCCAGACTTTCATCATACACCGCAGTTGCCGTCTCAGGAAAGGAAGTGTCCGGGAAAAGATAAGAATTTCCCATAAAAGCTATTATTTCAGCGATTAATCACATCGATCTCGAAGGTTCTAAGGTTTGTACGTGACTACAAACCTCCTGAAGATTGGCCAGAATGGCACGGAACTACTAATTTCATAGTTGACCCTCTTATTCTAGAAGTCGAAGGTCAGTGAGCGGCCTAGAAATAAAACCAAGGTCTGCTGCAGTTGCACAGTGAGTTTTGGCGGTGGTTAATGCGTTATTTTGTCAAGGTCATTTGCGTTCTGATTTTTCCTTTGGTCGTGACAGAGGTCGTGGGGGGCAATAAAGTGCATATTTCGAAATGGCGGCAAGTGGGAAGATTGTAAGAGGATCACCGGCATTAGGAGCATGAAGTAATCTTGAAATGAAACCTTCTATTAAGAACGTTTCATAATGCAATAGACAGATGATTTTTAAATGCCTACCTCACGACTAGCTTGCCGCACAGACTTCCTTCGAATTCGTTGAAATGCTTTTAGAACTCTCTCCTCGTTTATTGGGATCATCGATGTGCGTGGTCTGTCGGAACGCTTTTTGGGGGTGCTTCTGAAGAGTTTCATCTGCTTCAAACTTATCTCTAATTCGAGTGACGGTAACGCGTGTTGGTGGTTCTTTTTGAAACTGCCTCCTAAATTGCATTTGCACTTCAACTGCGTTTTCATACTTCCAGTAGCATTTTAGAATGAAGTTCCCTTCTTCAAAGCTAAGTTTGGCTGCAATCATTCAATCCGACAATTTTAATCTGCAAAAATAACTTGAAAAAAGATGACAAAAGAATAAAACGATATTTTTAAGTGCCTATATGTTAAAAATTATACACTTATAAGTAACATCTAGTTTACAAGCATTTAAAGTGTGTATACATCTGCGCGACACCATATGTATATATATATATATATATATATATATATATATATATATATATATATATATATATATATCTGTGCAACTCGCAAACTTATTTCCGACCGTTTGTGTCAGCAGCACTACACAAAGATGTGCAGAACGTGGTGAGAACTCATGTCCTTTGTCAAGGTTCAAAAGTGCAGCGCCATACACAGACACCACTTAGCATTCTCACCTTCCCGTGGCGGAGCTGTACGCTATCGAGCGCGTCCCCAGGTTGCGAATCGGGGAATGCCTTCCTTGTGGAGGTCTGCTTTGCAGGCAAGATGAATATGCAGTCGCGGACAATCAACGGCAGACTCTCAGAGCGTGGGGAGTTCTGGGCTGGTCAAGTGGTTCTCCAGGAAACATCACAAGTGCTCGTACGGCGCTGTGTTAAAGCCAATGTGACCGGCTATAGGGTTACTGACCACACACTTCTGTAACTGAAGGTGAGTATCTAACGGATGGTGGATGAACAATCTTGGTGGCCACCGGCTTCTCTGTGAACTGCTTCCGAACACACAGAAAGCGAATGAGCCACCTGTATGTCAATGGTCCTCGTGAATCGTCTCGCTGCCGTGCGGGTCAGATGTTTAACACCAAAGGGCTCCGGGTGGGGCCCCTTAAGTCAACCCACTTCCATGGCCTAGGCGACCGGGAAGCGCTCTGTGACACAGAACATGGGACTTTGCACCATTTCCTCTAAATCTCTCCCTCTTTTTTGTTATTCTTACTCATGTGTTGTGGCACACTGACAAAAGTTTACTTGGCAAGTGCTATATATATATATATATATATATATATATATATATATATATATATACTCACCTTTCCTGATGCTCATTTCTGTCATGTTTACATCGACACTGTGGGCCCGCTACCGTCGTCGAGTGCATATAAGTATTCACTGACTTGTATCGATCGTTACACTCGCTGACCGAAAAATGAGCTCTGTTAAGAGATTCTGCCGCAGCTGTGCATGCGCTGGGTAATGTCGAGATCATGTGAAAAGATTTAAAAGCGAAGCTCCAGAGGTTAATTGCCGCAGCGATAGAAATAGCTGAAGCCTACAGCTATGTGAACAGAATGGAGGGGGTGGAACCTTCGACTGCATGGAGAGCAATCCTAAACAGGATAGTCTGAGGGTCGATGCGCCGGTCAGGTAGGATAGGAAAAAGAACGACATCATCATCGTCACCAATGTGTTAATTGACAACACGACGGACAGTGAAACCTCTGAGTGACTAGTTGAGATGACATTTTCACCTGTGTCTCTTGACTCATATCCCAGTTGTCACGATTGTTTCCCTTACCCGCTATAAAATGCCACACCAATCATGTACCAATTCACTTGGTCTGACGAAGTTTTTGTTACGTAAACGAAAGATTGCCAACTAAATAAACCAAATGACTGTTCACAACTCTCTCTGAAACCATGAATTCCCGATCAGTTCCAAGAGATAGGGAGTTGACTTAAGGGACACCCAGCCGAGCCTTTGGCTGACTAGCCTACCGGCGGCGAATTCAGAGAATCGCACCCATTTGTAGCCGATGACCGATTAATCAGTTCATACGCCTTTCCTTCGGTCGGTTACCAAATAGGGGTCCAATCCCCGCACAATTTAAGCATCAGAGTGCTGGAATACAGTGCTCTACCAGGATGAAGCAAGGGGCAGAACCTCATTTGGTGGCGAGTCATGTCCGCCATGTCACAGTGTTGTTAACCAGACATATGTGGTGTTTTAAAGGGAGAAAATTTGCCAGGTGAAAACCCAACATGTTCTGAAAGACTGTCACCTAAACGGGATAATCCAGTAGCAGCCAGATGACCACACGAGATTGTTCGACAAGCAAGCTATTCACTCTTGTACAGTCCAACCTGCTACGGATACCACTTGTTTATGACGACCAGCCAAAAACATCCCAAAGGTTTTCTCCTATGAGTAATGTCCCTAGGTATGAACTTGTCACTGGCGACCACCTGTCCAAGGCGGCCACTTTTGTCAGTCCGTAGAGTGATCGCCTTAGACAGGTTGACTGTAAATATATACAAATATATAGCAGTAATAATTGTCATCATAATTCGTGACTTAATGACGCAAGTCAAGCATATAAATGTATCGCACTTCGGTGTATATGTCTCAGTTGGCCAATGGGTTTGAGCTGTTAAAAGTGCATTGCGAGCTAGACACATGGTGGTAGAACCAACATAGGGCAACGACAGTGAAAGACCTAAAGCGAACTAAAACCTTGGAGCAAATTATACTAGAAGCAATATGCTGTCGGGAAAGTGGCAACAGTAAAAAGATAGGGAAAAGGTGTTGGTATCCTTGGCTGGTAATTTATGCCAGGTAATTGTTCACAAAAGTTCACGTGTAGTCTAACTACAAAGTAATTGGAAGGATAGGCGAGCTGGAGTCTCTGATTCAACAGGCTTAAGTACGTAGAGGAATCTAAGTCTCATAGAAAATAACCGGGAATTAGGGTCCAAGTGACGGGGTAAACTGCAGTTAGGCGTAAATGCTAGCAGTCGAATAATTAAAAAGAACTGACTAGACTGACCGGATAAGGAAGAGTGAGTATAAAACCAGTGACAAAAACAGTTACGCTGTAGAGGAAAGCTGGGACGAGTGTACTCTAGATCAAACGCGTTGGATCAATATCCAACGAAGTTAGTGAGTAGTAGGGTGATCTATTGGGTTTTGTGAAGGTTCCTTGTAGCTAGACTCAGAGACAGTCAGTATAGATGCAGGAAAGCGCTAGACGGTCGTTTCGTACTACTGAGACTCGTCAGTAGTGCGCGCGCGCAGAATCCTGCAGGAGTCGAACCCACGGCGTTACGCTTACGAGCCAGGAACTTTTGTCACTGGGCCATGGGCGACGGCAGTAGACCGTCGTGACTGATATCAATCTACGACATAGCGCGGCTCATCCTCCACTGTCATACACGTTATGAACGTGCAGAGGACAGGGCTGGCCCCCAGAGCAACGTGTTCCTTTGCAAGCCGCCACTAATCGAGGTAACATGTACTCTGCTAAGGCGATTATGTTTAGTAATAGGATGCTTAAAAATCAGTGATCGCCGTAGCAGCTCACGTGCTACCTCGATTAGTGGCGACTTGCAAAGGAAGTCGTTGCTCTGGGGGCCAGCCCTGTCCTCTGCACTTTCACAACATGCAGGGTAGTGGTGGATGAGCCGCGTTATATCACAGTTGGGTATTAGTCTTGGCGAATCCGAGAGGATTCTGCGGATGCGCGCTTCCGACCTGTCCCAATATGACGAAACGGCCGCCTAGTGTTTTCCTGGATGTGTGGTGGTTGTATGTCTGAGTCTAGCTGCGACGAATCTTCACAGATCTAGCGAAGTGTAAAGTCGAATGTGACATGAAATTTTATCGAATATCGACGACAACGAGAGTAGAAAAACAGAAGAGACCAAACAATGCACCTCTAAGTGACCCGTTGTATGGCGTGGTGAAAGTCCAGTCATAAGGCTTGGGCTGGTCAAGTTGTTCGTCTGTGTTCTCACGGGCCTTTTGCCATTCCTTGGCGAATGGAACCTTGAGCAAAAGTAGGAAAGAAAGGAGTCTTACTCACCTCAACTGTTATTTTGGTGCAATCCACCATTTTTAAAGCATCCAGAGCAGTAAAAGACAGATAAGGCCTCGATTCTGTAGCCGTACTGTTACCTGGACATAGTGATTGCAAGTCAAAGCTCCAAAGGCGAAATACCGTTATACATAATTGAAACGCTGTTTTTATCAAAAATCATTTCAGGCAAACCGGGTAACGGGAGCGCGCATTCAAAGGTCTGCAAGTAAGGGGGAGAGAAATTGACACACCTGTGTATCATCCTACCTCTCTTTCTGATCCCGAAGACTTGAGAATGTGATGTTCGGTGATAGAAACAATCCAAGGGGTACAAAGATACTCCGAAACTTTCGGAGTAGAAAACGGTAGGGATGGAGGCTTCATTCCAATAAAAGTATCCTATGATGACTGAGATCGGTAATACATCAGATACATTGGACTGAAAATGAAGGTGTAATGTATTAGAACTACAAGACAACAATGAGGTGCAAAACCCCCGAAATTTACTTAAAATTAACCGTTTTGCTGCAGGTTTGTTATCCGGTACGAGTGAAAGACACTACAAAACGCAAAAGACGATGTGTAGCCGACCTCAACAAGATGAACATGCAACACAGTAATTAGTATCATGGGCGAGCACTCCCCACTGCTCTTTGGATCAAACAAGTAAGCCAAGGCTTGAGGTGAGAACCACTGAACATAACCCATTACTGGAGATAAGAAGCCGGAAAGCATAATCCGCCCGCACAACTCCGTCACCAGTGTTTCACCCACTTACACTGCCACCCGTCACTCATCAGTTTCTTATTCAAGAGCTGATCTCACAAAAAGACAACCACTAAACTTAACCCAAGGAATAAAGAAAGTAGACCGACTCTCAGATTTCAGGTACTAGGTGGAGCAAGCAGCACACAATTGAGTGAATCTTCAGGCCGAATATCGAAAGGTGCCTTCCTTACAAGTGTCAGCGGATGGATCTTTGTTTCGTAGTTGACATGGATAAGCGAACATCGATAATCAGCGACATCTTAGAAAGCTGAGTATCTAGGTAGATTACCTGGAATAAGTGAAATATCACAAGAGCTCGTGCGAAACCACGTCGAAACAAACGCAGCCGCTTACTTCTGCCATAACAAATCAGTGCACAATGTAGGCCAGATATATCCCTTTAAGAACCAATGGCTTCCTTGAAAACGCATTATTTCGAAGGAAGAGCGTACGAACCACTTAATAAGCAGAGGTCATCGTATATGATTGTCATTTTAGATACATAAAGAGCGTACTCTGAGATCTGTGCTGTCAGACAAGATCTTATTTGAAGTTCCGAGTAGCAGGAAACCGTATTGTATCTTTCGAACACTAACGTCCCAGAGTACGCTAGCCTAGTTGATGAAAACCGGAAAAAAGAGGAGTGTGCAACTACCAGTGACCAGAAGCGTTGCATTCACTTGATATTCATTCAGCTAAATCAACTGATGCGAATTCTCCGGCTCACTATAACCACGAAAGCGCTTATGCAGTTTGATTGGCTCCCTTCAGTTGCAGGAGTCGAAAGACGTTGTGACCCCGGTACAGCACGGTTTCATGGAAGGTCGCTCAAGTACCACCAACCTGCTGCTGGTGGGGCACGAATGATTATAAGCAATGAACCGAAGGAAGTAAGTCGATATAAGCTAGCTTGATTTCAGCAAAGTGTTAGACAATTTGAATTCTGAGGTCCTCTTTCACAGACTGAAGATGTGCGATGTTGGTGGATAAATGCATAAGTTAGTCAGCGAATTCCTTATTGAACAAAATGGAAGGGTACAGGTGGATGATCACCTATCGATTGATATCACATCACACAAAGGAACAGTACTGGGGCCCATTTTGTTTCTGATCTAAATCGAAGTAGTAGTAGCAGTAGCAACAGTCTAACGAATAGACATTGAGTCAAACAAAACCATGGCAATCGCTAGAAGAATACAGGTTCAATCAACGCATAATCATCATGGTACATTAGCTGAAAGTAAGTTACAGAGCAGCAAGAAGAATTGAACACTTTTGTCACTTTTTGTCATTCATTCATATGCTTTTTCAGCTGTTTGTCTTTTTTACTTGTTAGGCATTAAGCATTTGAATCTATACAGGTATGTACATAGATCTTCCACTGATTTCGATTGCGCGCCATATCCTTAATTGTTTCCAGCTAGCGGCATTCTTCGTTCTTTGGTCCCCAACCCGGCAGACGTGTGGATCCAACGGCAGTAAGATGTGAAGTCAATGATCTCATATGCTGTCGCCAAGTGGTCACTTCCAGCCAAGTCCTGCACGAGCAAAAATGGCGCAACAGGACAAACGCTCAACTGACTTACGCAGGACGTGACCGAGCCATCACAACTGACGCATCGAAGAACTTCGGCTACTTCAGTAGCCTTGTCTTGTTTGCGAGCGACCTGAAGATGTAAAGAGTAATTGACGCCCCCCTCCCTCCCGAGGACCGCGTAGTACCTTATCATAAACTCGAAAGCTGTCCGTGTGGACTGCAAGGGTCGAAATGACGGGCGAATAAGACAAGTCATTCATTGTGAGTCTGAGGAAGGGTGGTGGTGAGCGTAAGCACACCCTGGCCGGCCAAACGCTGCATCCCACACTTTTCGTAAAGGATCTAGGCGAACACGCAAGTTGCGAATTAAATTAAGTGAACAACATGAACTGACTACACGAAAACGGACTGTACATCCTTCGGGTGATCAAACGCTGCTTCTGCACTTGGTCTGGGGAAATTGCCACTAGACCATTCTCTACATTATAAGCCGTCGCAACAATACTGGACTTTAAGGTGGCGCGATGGTTTGGTTACCTCTTAGACACACTGAGCTATACTGCGTCCCAGAGGCCCCTTGAGAGCTAGAATTACCAGGCTGATCAGTGATGAAAGCAGACAAACTCGGTCACTTGGTCCTTCAGGTTGGGTGTTTTTTGTTAGAAAACCAAATCATTGGTTACCTCCTCGCTGCCGGTGGCTGAAAGGATCAAATGCTTGCCTTGTAATCCCGAGGTCACCGGTTCGAGCCCGCGTAGGAGACCGGGCAACCCTCGCAGTACTCTCGGCCCACGAGCGACCCGTGATTTTAGCGTGGCAGGAAAGCGTTAATACGGCGTACCAGCATACTGCTGGTGCCGTCACCTTCTCCTTTCGAGCCAAAACTTGGACTGAGGACGACAATCGTTCTATTGTCTAATTTTAGTCACACACTGTTTCTAAGTAGCACCACTTTAAGACACAGTGGGCGTCAAAGTGCGATTTGGCATCCGCCTATAGCTGTCCAACGATGCTGCCATAATTAACAGGAGGCATGATTACATTCTGGGTTGCCGCTCATCCTGGAATACCTGCGTCAACTCTGGTCATGCTTTGGTACTACGTCGTTTTTCCATAAACTTTACCGAGAGACGCACCAAGCGTCTCCTTCGATTTGCAACTGAGAAGCCATATCAGCTTTCGGTCAGGTAAGCATAGCAGGATGCCATACATACCGAGTTCTCGCTCTCCGTCCTAATGATATTCACCTTCAGTGGAAAAGGATCTCGGCCACCATGACCGATGCGGGAGTCTGCTTGCAGCACTTTCAAGCGTCACCGCACCAGTCACTGGATATCCGAGAGGTCCGTGAACCTGTTGGGATCCAGAAGAACACTTACGATGGGCTCTGAGCACAATGTAACCAAGCGGACTATTAGTTGGCTACTAAAGTGGAACATGCGTGCTGACAAGGAAGCCTGTGGACTGGAAGGGATCAAGAAATAAAAAGGACAGGAGCAGTAGGCAATTATCGCAATCCCTTCCAACTAATCCGCACCACTGGTACCAGGAAACCAGGTGCCAGTAGAAGAAGCAGACAGCGTGAATGCGCCGTACAGCTGGTTGACCGAAGCATTTTCGAGAACAGTTCAGTCGGCCCTTTGCTATTGGCTCTCTTCCTGATCAGGTTAGGAAGGACGAGTCATTGCGAACCGGTTTAGAAATTCTATCGGAGGACGACGTCCGAAACGTGAGCACAGCCCATAACAGTTATCGAGCTGCTGGCTCGGATTCCCTCGCACCAGCACTATTTAAGGACGGTGGTGAGGTCCTCTGCAAAGTACCATCCTCCCTGTTCGAATAAGTGTGGAAGTGTTGAGAGAGCAAGACGGTGCAGGCGAGTTTTGCATCAGAAAACCCACGTCCAGATACTATAACAGTACGAACATAGAAACACGGGCCTATTTGTGTACTTGCTTTGTGGCACCTTTCCGATTCTCCGTTCCGCTCCGCCCCTTCATTCATAACGTACCGGTGGAGGTAGATTTATGCACCATGAGTTCTTCACCCGGTTGATTTGTGCACCAAGCATCCAACGTAAGCGGCGATCCACAACTTCTCTGATTTCCTTGCGCCTCCTCGTTTCCATACACCATACTCATTAGTACTGCATCATACACCACCTTTCGAAAATTTCCGTTGCAGTCGACCTCCAAAGCAGTCGCTCCGATCTTCCAGGCTGCTCCATGTATACCGTAGTTGTTTGTCTTTGTTCCTACCACATCCTCAATTTGATAGTACGAACTCGCCTCTTATCTCCCTGACGAACGATAGTGGATACGGGCCCCCGTCGACCGATTACGTCATACCGTCTTTTCCATTTTGGCAGTATTTTTCTCTCCCCGGGGACACATGCGGTCGCACGTTGGTACTTTACGTTTGTACTTCACGTTCCAACCAACTGCAGTCTCCGGACAGAAGTACTGCCAAGTGATTGTCTGATAAAGCTAGATTATGTGGACGACATAGCTCATCTTGGGACTCACGCAATGGCTATGCAAACACTACTGCATAGACTGACGCGCAGCGTTGCACGTTTCCGTATGTGCTTTGCGACTTCAAAGTGCAAAGTACTGCTACATGACTGGACCGACACACCTACGTTTTTAGCTATCACTGAACAGCCACTGAAAATAGCGGATAGGTTCAGTTACCTTGATAGCTGTGTCACTTCTGGTGGTCACATCACCGACGAAATTACTTCGCGTATCAGCAAGGCCCCTGTGGCTTTTCAGAAGCACAAACATCTATGGAGACGGCGGGATATCAGCCTGTCAGTGAAAAGTAGGGTATATAACGCTGCGATAAGACCGGTCGTACTACATGGATCTGATACATGGGCAGTTCGCAGTGAATACATTAAACGCTTGACTGTGTTTGACCACCGGTGCTTGCGGAGTATTGCTCACGTCTGGTGGGAACACTAGGTGAGCAATGCCAAGGTCAGCCAGTTGATTTTTGGCAAGAAGCCTTCTGGTGCCTCGCGTGTTTGATGAATCTTAATCGCTTGCGTTGGGCAGGCCGCGTCCTCCGTATGTACGTTGACCGACTTTCACAGTGTGCATTATAAACCGTGGCTGCACCAAGTTGGGCGAA